TAGAGAAGTCACTCAGCATCGGGGAGGGAGGGATGAGGCAACAGGGGAGCCTGTGGGTGACAAAAGCAGCACTCCTGGGTGATGAGAATGAGTAGTGAAGGTGGTGAGAAGCCGGCAGAGGGCAGATCAGGGCGGGAGAAGGCCCACATCCTTCAGAACTCCGACTTGAACCTGAAATCCATGTGGAGACACATTGATACTCATTATAAGTACAGCCAGTGCAATCTCCAAATCAAGCCTCATCCCACCCGGCCCCTGGACATAGCAAGCCAGACAGTTCATACATTGCTTGCAGCTGAGAGGCACCTAATCACCCTTGTGATTCTGCAGCCTGAGCACACAGAGGTTGGGTCATTAAAACCCTGGGTTTACCCTCTTAGTAGTCAGATTGAGCCTCTCCCACCATACCTCCCCTTATCCAGGGCCTAAGGTTGCCAATGCACCTTATAAACGAATGGAACACAAGCACTGGCTTCAGCATCCATCTGCTGACCAAGGACACCTCTGTCCAGGTGCTCTATGGCAGGTTCATCCCATTCCCCACTCTCTAGATTAATACTGACCTAGAAGGCAGTGGCCCCTGGTATGGAAGTATACAATTAGTCAAGGCCACAGTGTGAACCAAGTATCTCCTGGGAGGAAGGGGGAGAGGGAAGAGGGCCATGGAAGGAGAATGGAGGTGCCTTGGACTTAAGATCTGGTGGGCTGGAGTTCAAACTCAGCCCCTGAAGTGACCCTCAGTCATCAGTATTTAGATCTGCGAAATCAGAACAACCCTCTTAACATCAAATATGTAATTGCCAAGATTAGGGAAGATAATAATGGATCGTAATCTGAGTCCAGTAAAAGTATATTCCAGTCCCTCCTCAGACCTGTTCTAATATTCCACCTTGAACTTGGATAAGGGTAAAGTGGTTAACTTCAGTGGCTCTAATGGGACAAATGACTGTAGTAATCTTTGCCAGAGGGGAGAGTGATCCCTGCCTAGAGTGGGGAGTGCATCAGTTTGGATTTTGTTAGGTTGCTTCTTTGCTAGTTTCCCCTCAGCTTCCCTGCCACTGAACCCTTCTCCCCAAGCTCCCAGAAGTCTTGTAGAACCCACTCTGGGTCCAGCCTCTGCTGGCAGGTAAGCCTAAATCAGACCAGGGCATGGGCTCCAGAATACTCAGTGCTGCAAATGGCAAAACTACAAGGGGAAGGTGTCCTTAGGTTCTTCCCACGCACTCTGAATCTGTCACACCCTTGGAGAACACAGGTAGCCACTAGGAACCTGCTTTCCCAAGAAGAAACTGAGGCCAGGGACTTAGATCTTTTAAATCTATGATGCCCACAGTCCAGTCCGTGCCTGCACCTGGTCTCCCACCCCCTGCTCCTGACTTTGCCCACACCTCTCTGAGGTTGCTCCATCTGTAAAGTGAAAGTAATACTTCCCTCTGGGACCAATGAGAAAACAAATAAAATGAAGTCTATCAACATCCATTAAGTGACTGGTTCAGCTTAGGTTGCCTTCAAGTGATCACAGCTACCATTTGATGAAAGTCACCAGCCCTATCTTTCTAAAAATTCCATACACTCCACAATCCAGATACAGATCTCTTGGTTATTATGCACACAACTACATACAACTCACCTTTGCCCACATTTACGTGTATTTCATTAGTCATGTTTCACACCAACTCACGCATATTTGCACATGTACGCACGCAGAACTATGTGTCAAGCACCTGCCACGTGCCAGGACCCGTTCTTGGTCTGGGACACCAGCACGACTCGGAGGGCTATTGGAGCTGAGTTTTGCAAGGAAGACTTGCCATTTGTTCACAGAGTTCGGGGCGGGAAGCGGTCTCATCGCAATTGTTTGAGCACCAAATGCTACCAGTCTGTACCCTCCTAATTTGCGGGCCAGGATTGATGGCTGAAATGCCTCCCCGCTCCCCTTCCCTTTTTTCCTTCCCTTTTCTGTGCCGGCAGCCTTGCCTTCCACCTCATCCCTGGCGGGTTCTGCACAAGGACGGCGCTCTTCTCGGCAGCCAGGAGGAGATGCCGCCTGAATGCAAGCAGGAACTCGGGGAAGGGAAAGGGGAGAAACTGAACCAAAGGCGCGGGAGGCCGGGGAGAGACCCGGAAGCGGTGGGAGGTCTGCGTTCTGGAACCCCGCGCGAGCCCCCACCCCCGCGGGTCTGGCATAGGCAGCCGAGCAAAGGCCGCCCCGATACGCACCCGGCCTTTTGTGCGAGGGAACCACAAAGGAGAGGGAAAAACACGTCTTCCGTTTTGACGGAGGAGACCAACCGCTCTAGGACGCAAGGGCCAGCCAGGAAGCCCCGGAGCCAAGTAGCCCGAGCTAGTGAGCTCTCAATTCCCGGGGAAATGGCTTGGGCTCAACTGAGCGCGCTGCTGGGAACCGCGGCTGCCGGGACAAGCACAGGAGGTGTACTCCGGGCGCTAGGCTCAGTATCTGGACAAGTGCCGCGACGCATGCAGGACGCACGAGGGCAAGCGCTGGCCGCCCCACTTTAAATGTCCGATTATTCCGGGGCCGGGGGCGGGACACAATGAGCTGTATCCAGCGTCCAGTTTGCCCCCAAAATAATGAAAACGAGAGGCACACAGACCCCACCCCCGCCCCACACTCATCTCCCAAGCAACTCTGGCGAAGGGAAGTTGTTAGGGGAAGGCAGCCAGGAGAAGAGGCCTACAGCCCAGAGCTGCCAGCCCGAGCTTCGAACCAAAGGAGTGAGAACCGCGAGGTGCCGCTGCACAGCCCCAGAACTGCCCCGGCAATCTCAGCTCAGTGGCGCTCGCTGGGGCTGGAGTGTTTACGGGCGTCCAGGAGGAACTTGGAGAGCAAGCGAACTCTCCTGCCTTTGGACTCTGCCTTTCAGGCTCCAGACTCGCTCCTTCCTAGGATGAGCTCCCAACTTTCGGCCCTGCCTCCGACTCCAGCCACTGGACCAAACGTGTAAAGAATGTCAAATCAAGCTCTCCCGCAGACCGCTGGACGCAAGAGAGATACCAGTGGGAAGCAACAAAAAAAGAAACTCGAGCTCTGGGACACGTGCCGGCGGCTGGACTGAAGGCAGCGCCTGCAACCAAGGCGCGCGCACGGTGTGCCTGCTAGTGTTTATTAGATGCTCTGGCAGGCGCACAACTCCACGGCCCAGCTGGTGGCCCCACAGCTCACACCTCCACTCACGTCCTCACTGCGGTTGACGGGGAAGTCCAAAGGTCGGAGCTCTTCCTGATTCCCACCCCGCGCTCCCTGGGTTGGTCCGTCTGTGTGACAGATTCTGGTAATTGAACGGTTATGGGTTATCCTTGCAACCGTTGGACGGCATATCACCACGCTTCAGTTCTTCATGTTTTAAATACATATTTAACGGATGGCTGCAGAGCCAGCTGGAAAACACGCGGGTTGAAAAATTATGCTCCAGAAGGCACAAGACGGGCAAAGGCGAAAACCCACTGGGCTTTCTAGCATCGACCCTGGAGGAAAACTTAGAACCGAACTAGGAGCAATAACCTGGGTTTTCGTATTATCTTGTTTTGTAACGTTGCTACATGAAGACAAATTATGATGTTTGCTTGTTTTTGTAATTTACACGTTGTGTATATTAAATGTTCCCAAACAAAGAAAGTAACCCAATAACCCTTAATATGCCCTGGGAGACAGAAGTGGGGACAGTGTGTATGAGTGTGGGTGTGTGTGTGTGTGTGTGTGTGCGTGCGCTTTGTGAGGAGCTGTAAGGATATGAGAAATTGAGCTCAAGGAAAAGGTTAAGGATTGGGGAGCCCCGGCAGCTGCTTCTACCCTAAGATCCTACACGCTGCCATCTGTACTCCAGAGGAAGGGGCTGCGCTGTAAAGACGGAGCAATTTTTCTGTAGGGTCTCTAGATTTTTAAATCTAGAATGGAATTTTAAAATCTGTAAAATGGGTAAGTGCCTAGGCACCTCTGGACAACCTCAGATGCTTCTCCAGTTCGGGTTCAATACCTCCTGGTCAAGGTATTTCCCTATTTGAGAGTCGGGCTGTGATAAGTAAAATGTGTCCCGAACCATCTGGGAACAGTTCAATCTCCGCTCCCTACCCCACCGCAGAAGGAGGACTTAGCTCAAGCCTGAGACCTGTCTTTGTAAACAAAACCCAGTCGTGCTGGAAATGCTCTCCCTGGGCTTCCCCGCTAGTAAACAGGCGGTGGGGGTATTTAACTCGTGATGCACTTACTCAGAGTTAGTGCGGTTACTGTACGGAAACAACTCGACCTTGCACATTCTCAACTTTATGAAGAGTTGTGATTTCTTTCAAAACACCGTCCAGGAGCGGGTCCCCTTCTTCCTCGCCCGCCCTCTGCCCGGCAAAGCCGTGTTCCCACCTGGGGGCGCTACCGCCTTCCTGCCGAGCAGCGGCAACCACCACCTAGTACAAGCGCTCTGAGAGAGAAGAAAGTGGGGGCTTTGTGCATGGTTAACCTTTAAATGGGGGCCCCAAATGCTTGCGTGTTGATCAAACCCAAGAGATGGCAGGAAGCCAGAGAAAGAGAAAACTAGGGAGCTTCCACTGCGTCTTGAGCGTTATCTGCGCACTTCTCCAAGATCCAGCTGCGCTGGATGTCAGGTTAGTTTTTATGCCGGGTCTCAAGCCCACGCGGTCTCCCATTAGGACTCAGTGGTGAATATATCTTTATAGAAATTTAACGGTGCTTCTCTCTTCCTCGGTCCCAAGCGCTTTCGGCCCTCTCTCCTTCCCGGGTGAGCCTGCCCTCCTCCTCCCGCTCGGCTCTCACTGTCGCTGGCGGGGTCTCCTCCAGTCCCTCCACAAGAATCTCTCCATCGCGGACGCCCATTGGTTGTGCGCGGGGAGGAGGCGTGTGCCGGACCCGGCGGGTTTCATTGAGCGGAATTAGCCCGGATGACATCAGCTTCCCAGCCCCTCCAGTGGGCCCAGCTCATTGGCGCGGCTGCCCCTCCAGGACAAGCACATTGTTTCCCTTCCCCGCCCCCGCCCCGGCCACCACCGCCGCCGTCGTCGCCGCCACCCGGCTATAAAAACCGGCAGATCCCTGAAAGGTGCGGATGCTTATTATAGACCTACGCGACACTAGCGCCCAGAGCCAGGATCTCCACTGCAGCTTTTTGGAGCGAGCTCCTCAAATCGAATTCACAGTAAGTGTCCCCGCCCCCCAGCAGCCCTAGACGAGATCCCAAGGACAGATTCCCCCCACCCCCACCCCCGCTCAAACTCGGCGGCGACTCAGGATGCTCCCACAGAGGGGGATCTGGATCCCTCCTGTACCGGTCAGTTATACCGAGCGATTTCACTGCTTTGACTCACCCCATACTCACCGCAGCATCCTCTCCGCCCATAGCCATAAGTCGAGGCGACCACAGCTCCTTCTGTGGATCAGTCCGGGTCAGTCTGGAGAGCTCCCGGTGGTCCCGAGACGCACGCATGGACCCTGGGCCCTCGCAGTCTCTGGCTGTATACGTGCGCGCGTGGTTGCTGCGCGGTGTCGATGGAGATAAGGTGGATGCGTTTGAGGAACCAAATAAATGGTTCTCAATTTAGATCCTCACAATACCCAAAGAAACGCTCTCACTTGTTCCTTGTTTAATCCAGTCCTGGAGACCCCGCTTTCCCATTCCTAATAGAAGGAACAAAACCTCTAGCACACCCCTGCTCTCTAAAATAAAGCAACCTGTGGATGAGAGCAGAGGGGAGGCAGTGGGGAAGGAAAGAGGAGATGAGTCATGAATACCGGTGCGGCTAGAAGCAAGGCCAGAGATAGCAGCGAGGTGGACGCAGAGCTACCCGCCACCGGTGCCTGGACTCTGCGTTAAGGAGCAGGCAGGAGCAGCTTTTCTGTCTCACTTAGTGTCTTGTTTCTCTCTTCCATATATTCATATCGCCCCCTCCCCATTTCTCTCCGGGAAGCTCTGAGGACCCTGGGAGAAAGGACCTTGCAAAAGCTGCGACTATTCCCCGGGGCCATGGACTCGGACGCCAGCCTGGTGTCCAGCCGCCCGTCGTCGCCAGAGCCCGATGACCTTTTTCTGCCGGCCCGGAGCAAGGGCAGTAGCGGCAGCGGCTTCACAGGCGGCACAGTGTCCTCGTCCACGCCGAGCGACTGCCCTCCAGAGCTGAGCGCCGAGCTGCGCGGAGCCATGGGCGCGGCGGGCGCGCACCCCGGGGACAAGCTGGGCGGCAGTGGCTTCAAGTCATCCTCGTCCAGCACTTCATCGTCCACGTCTTCAGCGGCTACGTCGTCCACCAAGAAGGACAAGAAACAGATGACTGAGCCGGAGCTGCAGCAGCTGCGCCTCAAGATCAACAGCCGCGAGCGCAAGCGCATGCACGACCTCAACATCGCCATGGACGGCCTGCGCGAGGTCATGCCTTATGCGCACGGCCCGTCGGTGCGCAAGCTCTCCAAGATCGCCACGCTGCTCCTGGCGCGCAACTACATCCTCATGCTTACCAACTCTTTGGAGGAGATGAAGCGACTGGTGAGCGAGATCTACGGAGGCCACCACGCCGGCTTCCATCCGTCGGCCTGCGGCGGTCTGGCGCACTCTGCACCGCTGCCCGCGGCCGCCGCTCATCCGGCGGCCGCCGCTCACTCGGCGCACCATCCGGCAGTGCATCACCCCATTCTGCCTCCCGCCGCAGCCGCCGCAGCTGCCGCCGCCGCCGCCGCCGCGGTGTCCAGCGCCTCTCTGCCGGGCTCCGGGCTGTCGTCTGTCGGCTCCATCCGGCCTCCGCACGGCTTGCTCAAGTCTCCGTCAGCGGCCACGGCCGCCCCGCTCGGGGGCGGGGGAGGCGGCAGCGGAGGCAGCGGTGGCTTCCAGCACTGGGGAGGCATGCCCTGCCCCTGCAGCATGTGCCAGGTGCCACCACCACACCACCATGTGTCGGCTATGGGCGCCGGCAGCCTGCCGCGCCTCACCTCCGACGCCAAGTGAGCTGGTCGGTGCTGGAGCGTTCTGGAGAGCAGGGGGTGCCCAGAGGGTGCAGAGAAGCGAGGGGACTGGCCGGCACTAGGGCTCGCGAGGAGGGGCTCAGGACCATGGGCTAGGGTGGGGAATGATTGGGACTACAGCACCCGGGAATGGAAGTAATGGGAACGCGCAGAGTGGGGAGTGAGGGGCGCTTGACTCCGGGACCTAGTTCGGCCCTCGGCTTTAAACTGCGCAGATCCGGTAGACACTACTTCGTAAAATGGCACCACCATTTGCGTCCTTCACTCGAATTCCTTCTCTCCACCCCGGGGAAAGAGTCTAAAAACTGTTTCCCCAAGAGCCACGGTTTAACTCCCAGACTGGACCCAGGCAGCACTTCGTGGGGAGTCGGGGGACTTTCCCTCCTTCCTCCTTTCTCAGCTGGTAGGAGACTCTGGGATCCTCACTGCAGAAGCAACCGCTGGGCCTCACCCTCAAGGGTCGTCTCCAAGCCTGGGCCAGGGGCAATGAATTAGATGGAAGTTGGCGCTGGTACCCGAAGCACTTACGGTCGTGTCTGGTTATGCCTGGTTTCCATATCTGGGTAAACCCACAGCGTGTAAAAACTGTGGCCATTCCTGTCTCTCTTGTTGACTTGGGGGTTTGTGGTTTTCTAATAAATCTGTGAATGTTCCTTTTTCAACAGTATGAGCAAGCTTTATAAGACGCTCAGAATAGAACCACTTGTGGGGTGAAATAACCCAAACTGCCGATTTAGAGGGAGGCGGGTGTTTTTTCGGTATTTTAAAATGAATACTAGCCCCGGTCCTCTTCATTCTTTCCGTCTTGAGCGCGCGCGCGCGCGCGCACACACACACACACACACACACAAAGTGATTTGGTTTCTTACCCGATTGGAAGCAGTTATTTTGGTACCTGAGGGTTTGACAGAACTGAAAGAAGTTGCTGTGAATATAGCTTGAGTTATGGGGGCGGGGTTCTGTTAGTTGTTTAATAATTTCTTTCTGGAAGATGTAAATACACTATCAGTGATGAGGTAAGTGCACGATGCTAAGCTGTTTGCTCACGTGACTGCCAACCCCTCCGGAGTCTGAGCCGGCTTTCCTCTCTGTATCGGTTTCTTTTTGCCACGGTTTTTTAACTCAAATGGCAAACGTGCTTCCACGTGCTTCCTGCGTTGGTGCAAATCGCCTGGCGCTGGTTGCGTTGCAATATGGGCTTCAACTCCTCTGCCACATAACATCCCTCCTCTGATAAACGCTGCCCTAGCAGAGAGTGTATCATCTGTTTTATTTTTGTAAAAAAAAAAAAAGTGCTAAATAATATTTATTACTTGTTTGGTTGCAGAAAACGAAATAAATGATTGAGTGTTGAGATTTTAAATAAAACTTAAAGTAAATCAAACTTTTTCATCCGTGTGAGTGGGAGGGTGCTCAGGGAGCCCCGAGAAAGAGGGGTGAGGAATGCGATTTTCTGGGCAGGATTTAGCCAGCATCCCGTTGGTTTTCCCCAGAAGAAAGACAGTGGGGGGCTGTTTGTCAATCGCCCCCAACTCCTCCCCTCCTGCGCACCCATTCTGTTTAAATAGCCTTTGAGCACATCCTCCCTGTATTTATCACAACTTGCTTTTCCTTAATTTTATTTTTCAGATCTAACCGGGAAACTCCCTTTCCCTTCAGTTAAAGATTGCTAGTTTAAGAGTGTACATTTCCTTGTGTGGAACTCTGACCTTTCCCGGAGAAAGCCGTGCCTTGGGCTGGAGGTCTGGATGCTCAGACATCCTCTTCTGCCGAGCTTTTATTTTCTCTCTGTTCAAGGGCATTGCTGGTCCCCACACAGCCCAGTGGGTTCCCTTGGCTTCAGCAGGGAACCAGGCGCTTGGGGCTGAGTGCTTGCTGCGGGAAGGCCCACAGCGTGGAGGGCAAAGGCTGCACAGGAATGTTTGGTCTGTCCCTTCTCTGGGCTTTGTACCATCTTGCTGCGGTGCCCACTCAGGTCTGAAACTGCAAAGAGCCAGGCCCTGGGGACTACTTGGCTCTTACTTGCCCAACTTTGGCCTCTGTGTTCTTTCCTGGGGTGACTTCTCTTTTCTTGCGGACACAGGGTTCCTTACAACCCAAAGCTGTAATGCGGATTGAAGATATGGCTCTTAAGGGGGATTCTGGATGGAAATAAAAACAAACAACAACAATAACAAAACAAAAACAAGAACTTCAGTCTGATCATGAACAGGGACAGATCCTGCTGCAGTCTCTTCACCAGAGCTCTGACCAAGAACGCACTCTCTCCTGAAAAGACCGGCTGCTGCGTTATGACATCTTTAGTAGCCACTGGCCGAATGCCCTTGAACCTGGGGCTAGGTTTCCCTGTTCCCATTTATTGAGTCCGGTCCGGGAGGAACCCAGCCCATGCAGAGTCCCTTGTCCAGGCCTGGGGTTGGTTCCATCCTGTAACTCTGCAGGCTAGCGCTCCCGGTCCTCTACTGGGTAATGTCGGGCGGCTGGCCAGAACTGCTGCGTCCAGGAACGGGTGCTGTAGGCCTCGCTTTTCACCAAAGGGCTTCTCTTTTCACCAAAGGCTAGGAGGGATTTTGGAGGAGGCCAAGTGCTTGGGGGCAGAGAAAAGCAGCCCAGCGGCGCTAAGTGAACCCAAGCAGAGGGCAGGGTAAGATCCAGTCATCTTTACTCTGAATTCCCATTTGAAACGAAACTTGCAAAGAATTTAAAACTGGGTCCAGCTCTAGCTGCAGACACATACGGAAGAGGCTGGAAACCCTGACCCGTGCAAGCTAAGGGTAGAGGTAGAGGGCTTTGTATGGTAGTGGCCTCTTCACCCACGGCAAAACACGACGCGAGGCGTGCTGGTGCAGCCTCTGGGTGTATGCATAGAAGGACCAATGTTGAAAGAAGACAAATTAAGTCTTGCCCGCCACTCTGGTCCCCAAGTTCTCAGCAGTATCTAGCCAGCCGAAGGCCAAGCTAGACCCCTGCCAAGTTAGGAGGAGCTTGAACTACACATCCAGCTGGGAGCCTCAGACTCAATGTGTGAGGCCCGAGCATCCCTGGACCCTAAGGAGGCACATACATGTGCACACAAGAGCGGCATGGGGCACTGCGGGTGGGGGCAGGCACCCTTGAGGAGGGTGGCCCTGAACTGACCAGGGTCCTGGATAGAAGGTTCAGGCCAGCGGCTGGACTTCCATGAGAAGAGGTAGAAAACTGTGCACAACTTTGACTTTGATTGGAGCCTTAATTGGGAACAGGCTTCCTACTAAAAGAGAGAGGGAAAGGCAAAGGAAAACCGCAGGGAAGCAGTGCTCCTTGTGGCACTTGCCATAGTGAGTTGGCACCAGGGAAGCCCTGGTCCCTAAATATTTTCCAGCACTAACCTGAGTGAAGCTCAACTTCTTTCCAACTTCAAAACCCTCTGTGTGGCCTTTGTGGCTCCTCAGCTTTCAGCTGCTGGGCCCACGGACTCACCAGATCCCAAAGTCTGCAGAGACTTGCCCCCCCCAACCTCCTTAAAAACCTGGGAGCTCTACCAGAGGAGGTTGAGAGGACAGAGTTCAGTGACCAGGGGACTGTCCCCAAGATCCCCACTCTCAGATAGGCTGGAGTCATAGAAAAAGGAAATTCCCTGGGCAGTATTGGAGGACTCACTCTAGGATTGGCCAGAACTCCAGGATAACTCTGACGCCCAGAGAATTCTGCATCCCAGGGACAGGCAGTGAGCAGAAGGGTGAAGTGAACTGGCAAACCTAAAGTACATTTTAGTAGAGGATGATATTGCTGAGACGCAGAAGTGTCATACTCCCAGTGAGAGCTGGTTTTCTGATTGGCAATAGGAAGATGTAGCACCAGGGATATCCATGGTGAACTAGGGCTTCTGTAGCCACCTGGGCAGGACCTGACCTTCTCATTCCTGGACTGGAACCAGTGAAGAGCTTCTGGGGCCAGTTCTGTGTTTTCAATTCTCTGACATGCTCTCATGGATAAAACTACTCCAGCACTAGAAAAATGTCTGTCTCCCTTCAGGGCAGAATTTACTTAGAAATCTGTCTGAACTCCCTCTATTAAGTAAAAACCTTCATGCTACCTAGAAGTTCATCAAAGACAAAGGATTCCTCCACATCTGCCCACCTCTCATTTCAAGTTCCTCTTTCCTTACAGGTTTTGTGCCAAGTCTCCCCATCCCCACATAGTACCAGTAGGAATCATGGGGGACTTTTACAAAGGCCCTACCGGTGTCTGCCCCTCTCATCATTGTCTTTACAGACCTGAAAGGAAGACCAGAATCAAGCCTGGCTGTTGCCAGAGTGAGCGGTTGCTACACTCAATCCCACTGGATGGGAGAGGGACAGAAACAGCAAGGTAAAGTTACCATGGCTACTCCTTAGTTTGGAAGCTGCCAACAACCCATGCTCTGGGGGCTCAGTTAAGTTTCAGACTCCCTGAGAAGGGCCATGTTAGATGGGGCAGAGATGGGGATTAATCTTCCTCTCTCTCTCTCTCTCTCTCTCTCTCTCTCTCTCTCTCTCCTCTGATTCCTAACTCTGTTCTAGGGGGCTAGTTGTTGTTGCTATAAGATTGCATTGCCTGGCTACAGGTTAATGGGGTGGGGGGACAGAGAAGAACCAGTCAGCAGATCTGGGAGGAGGGAGGCTGTTACCCCCCACAGACACCATTAATTATTAATAGGATATTAATAAAGAAAGTGGAAGAGAAGGTGGAAAACATTAAAGTGGTGGGTGTAAGGCCCCATACTGAGCTTTACACATGTCAGCTCATTGAATTCTCACTGTAACTCTTAGAGGCCGTGTCATTATTATCCCATTTTACAGGTGAGGAAACATAAGCCCGGAGAGGATAAGTGACTTGCTCAGGGGCACCCCCAGTTGTAATCCAAGAGTGCTGCTCCACAGTCCACACCCAGTAGGTCGCCCAGCCCACACACCCAGGACCCCCCTGGGACCCCATCCTTTCCAGACTGCCTTAGCTGCCACCAGTGCCCCACGTCCCAGCTCACTCAAGGGAAGCTCCTATGCTCCCTTTCGGTGCCTGGACCCCATCTGTCCTAGACGCCTCCATCTGGGTGGCAGGCGGTGCGGACAGGCTTTAGCAATTAGTGGCTCGGGTGGGCGCGCTGCGCGGGCGCAGGAGGGGCCAGAGCAGGTGAGCCTTGGCGGTCGCTCATTAGGGACTGTCGTTACCGCCAGTCCAGCTGCCGGCCCGGGTCGCAGCCAGATCCTAAGCTGCATTTCCGCCCCGGTTGTGCATCGCACTCTTCAGGAGGAACTCGGAAAGGGGTCGCGAACGGAAAAGCCTGCAGGGACTTGGCGGATACGTGCGCCAGTCTCTGCAAAGCACAACCCGCGGAACCCGTGGGACCCGAGGCCGCTAGGAGTGTGCGCTCTCATTCCACGGGGGCGTCGGACCCCATCTGACCCCACGCCAAGGCTCCCCCAGACACGCCAGTAGGCCGAATGGCCCCGGGGATTTCAGTCTGTGAGTCCCGAAAGCGGCGGTGTCCTCCAGGACTACCTGGCAGGCCTCCTCCGGGCTCAGGCTTTATTTGGGTTCTTCTTGTCTCACGTCGCCGCTCGCGGGGAAGACTGCTTGGAAAACTCGCTCTGAAGTGTGTGCAAAAGTCCTCTCTGCCGCTTGCTTCCTGGATCTCGCGGAGGCTGAACCGAGAGGGGTGTGGAGGGGCGTCCTGGGTCCCGCAGACCCGGCGCGCTTGCTGGGTGCCCGAGAGCGGCCCGCGTCCACCCAGATTGCCAAAACAAAGCAGCGGGCTTCGACTGCGCTGGCCCTCCTTTGGTGAGATCGCAGTGGCTATAGGGCCTCTGAGTCCACTAGCTCAGGGAGGGATTGGGGTCCACGAGAGGGAGGCTTGCAGAGTCCTCCTGAAGGACCGACATTCCTGTGGAGGCCAAACAGCTGCCCGCGAGAGCACCGGACTACTGCGGGACACGTGTGCATGCTCACAGGCTCCTGCACACCGGCTTACACAAATTCGCTCTCACAGTTCCACCCACACCAGCGCTTGCTCCGGTGCAGGCCTCCCTGTCTCAGGAGACCTTCTGTCCCTACTGAGCACTGGAAGCTGTTATGATTCAGAAATCCTCAGTTGTGGGCAGCTGGGCATGCCAATTTCTCCCTACCGAGCTCTGGGAATCTCCAGTCTTCTCCTGTCTTGCCCCAGCTTTTAGCCCCCTGGCCCTTCAGCCCTTCCCCTCCTTGATCCTCCCAAATTAGTCTGATTCAGGGAGCTCTTTTCTCCTACAGGTTGAAAATAGGTCATAAGCACCACCTCCCCTTTTATCCTCAAATGCTAGTGGCAATAAAAGCTTGTCCTCAAGAGCAGGGGTTGTCCTCAGAAGTTGTATGATTGCTGGCTGTGGGCCTCAGTTTCCTTAACTGTAGAATGGAGCCATAATGGGTGATCTCCAAAGTGCCATGAGCAAATCAGGCTCTTGGAACAGAGGTCCTGGGACCCCCACCCCCCAGGTGGCAGGAAGATGTGATGAGTGAAACCAGCCATCTTTGGTGTCACCTGTGTGTGCTAATGGGGTTCACCAGCCTCTTTGAAGCAGGAACGTAGACAATTCTGGAAAGGAGTTATCCTAGGTTCAACTTTCCTGTAGTAGAAACGGATTTGGATGCTTCTGTACCTAAATCATATCTGCTAGATGCAAGGGCCAGGAAATGAATGAACTGATGGTGTAGTGGGAGTCAATGGAGGACTCAAAGAAGAAGAGATTTGGAGAGTGTGAGGAGCAAGTCCAGTGTGACAAGACCTTGAATGAATTCTGCATTGATGGGGAATGCTCGCCTTGGGCCAGGTGGGCATTCATGCTTCTACCCAGGGCAGCTGGATTGGGACTTGGGCCCTGCATTACGCGGGCTGGGTTTCCAGACCTCCTTGCATCATAAGTAACAATGCCTGGCAGTTGTGTGGCTGTGAAGATTAAAGAAAAGCTCCCAGGAGTCACCTTGTGCTTGGTCTCAACTCTGAGTGGGTGCTCTGAACTGCAAGGCCTGCCCAGGTGTAGGTATGCCTAAATCCAGACTCTCACCTGAGCCTCCTCCTCTCAAGCAGCCAGGAATACACAGGTCATGAAAGTAGGTGATCACCATGGAGACTATGAGGGGGCAGCCAGATACGAGGTGATCTGCTGTCTCTACCCAGACCCACTAGCTGTGTGACCTAGGTGGGATAAAGGACATGGGCTTTCTGAGCCTTGGTTTTCTCATCTGAAAAATGGGGTGATGATAGTACTATTCTCACAGGCATCAGGTTTGAAAGAGAGAACTCTGTCGTGGGCAGGCCCACAAGCATACTGGATGAAATAGGAGTGCTTGGTTGCAGGGGTGTCATTTTATCAAACCTGGGAGGTCTTATGAATTAGGGTTTCTGTTACCCTAAGACTTGCCTGAAGCATCTCAAGGGTTCTGCATGATTCGGGACCCCAAAATCAACATGGCAGTATCCCTGAGCTTTGTTCATATAAAAAACCCAAATGTTCTCCATGCCATCCAGAAACCTGTGTTGAGGACCCCACAACAACTTCTGCCCTGGGACTTGCCCAGTGACCCTAACAAATACATTTGGCTCTTAGGCAGAATCTCAGTGAGAAGCCTGGCTGAAGAAGGTAGATTTTGTATGGCTAATTTCCTTATTCAGCCAGATTCTATTGTGACTTAGAAATGAAATGGCCAACTAAATTTCAGCATGTACAAATCTTCACCATAATATAAATAGTACCAAATTTTTTAAAAAAATTTTATTTTTAGTACTGGAGATCATACACAGGGCCTTGCACATGCTAGGCAAGTGTTCTATTACTGACCCGTACCCTTAGCCCAAGTCACATTTTGAGAAGTGGACATTAAAATTTAAACTTGATCATGAAGACTTGACATAAATCCAAGGGACAGTAAGTGGTGCAGAAACAGATATCCTGATTTCTATAATTCATCTTCTCAGAACTTTATTCAACACACACTTAATAGGAGGTGGCAAGAGACTCCTTAATGGCAAATATACAGGCCTATTCTGAGCTCAGCTTTGGACACAAGAAACACACCTAAGAAACTTGCTCTTTCTTAGCATTTAAGAGTTACCCTGATTGAAAGGAGCCAATGAAGTGAACTTTTCCACTTGAAATTGAACTTGGGAAGGGAACTTTAACATAGGGAAGGCACCCATTATCTTGAGGGATAACATTTCTTCTTGGAATACAAAGCTCAGTCAATTGAGATCATAACTGCCGCTTCTCCTTTTTCATGTTTTTTTTTTTTTTAAAACTGGAGACTGAACTCAGAAGCACTTGACCACTGAGCCACATCCCCAGCCATATTTTGTATTTTGTTTAGAGACAGGGTCTCACTGAGCTGCTTAGAGCCTTAGTTGCTGAGGCTGGCTTTGAATTTGCAATTCTCCTGCCTCAGCCTCCAGAGCTGCTGGGAGTGTGTGCCAATGTGCCCAGCCATGTCTTCCTTTTCTTTTTTTTTTTTTTTTTTTAAATATTTATTTATTTATTTTTCGGTGGACACAACATCTTTGTTTGTATGTGGTGCTGAGGATCGAACCCGGGCTGCACGCATGCCAGGCGAGCGCGCTACCACTTGAGCCACATCCCCAGCCCCCATGTCTTCCTTTTCAATACTCCAAACTTAGCCTGAGATTTTTCATTCCCCTCCCTGTTCTACTTTTCTTGTTTCTATGACATATTATTATTATTATATTGTTATTATTATTATCACTACTACTCCTATTACTATTACTCTCTTCCCCACTAGAACTTAAGCTCTATTAGGCAGAGATCTTTGCCCATCTTGATTAGTGATGTAGAAGAGTCAAGCACATAGTTGGTGCCCAATAAATATTAATTGAATGAATAAATGGGTGTATACAGATGGTTTTTGCTTCTGAGCAAGAACAGAGAAGGCATAAAGCTTCACTGGAACTCCTACATGAGGAAATCAGGCAAAATTTTATCCCATGAAAAGTGCATCATCCAACTATGTTCTCTCTGCCAAGACTGTTTTTTAAATCTCCTGAGTCTTGGAGGCTGGTCTTGTAATGGTCCTGGGAGCAAAGAAGGAATTTTTTGAAATATTCTGTTAGGGATCAACAAATTTACTAAAGCTTAAGTTATGATGTTCTCCCTGGGGAACAAAAGCTGCCTCCCCCCCACATCTGCTGGGTAGGCTTTGGGCACAGAAAGGATGTAGACCTTGGGATGTGACACTGACCTTAAGGTGACATGGCTTCCTAGTTGGACAATTTGTTCTGATCTTTTGGGAAGCAAAAGGATTGAGATTAAGAAAATGAAGAGACAAATGTTCAGTTGGATAAATCTTTCTGATGAGGATCATATCTGAAAGAGGAAAGATGTCTCCTGGCAAATTAGTGGCTCCCACAAACCATCCGTGTCAACATCACAAACAGAATAAGAACAATATTGAAGTAGGTAGGAGGGTGGCCACAAATGTCCAATTCAAACAGCAAGTATAAACCTTAACATAAAGTATCCTAAAATAAACAAAAAAAAAGTCCTCAGTGGTTGTATTTATCCCAATTGCAAAACTGTCCCTTTGTTGAGTGGCTGTGCTGAGCCAGGAGAACAATGTTGAGGCTGCTGGCGAGCCATGTGCTAATGTGCTCATGCATTACAGGCTGCAACAGATGGCTATGACAACACTCAGGCCTGCCCTGCCTGGGTCAGGACGTGGAGCCTGAAGCCTGCTTCTAGCTCTGTCCTGTTATCAAAGCACTGCTTCTCTTTAGCATGTTGTCCTTGGAATGAGGTATGTCCTTGGGAGGACATACATACCCATTCTATCCAATTTGAGGGCAAAGGTGCCAAGGAATAGGATTGACAGTTTGTTTGCTGTTAGCTTAAACCATGTTGCAGAATTGAAAAGTATTTATGTGGAATCAAAAGTCAGGAAAAGGGAGACACATGCTGGGTTGTTCCAACAGGTGAGCTCATGAGCATCACTCACATTTTTAATCCCCTTCTATGAACCTGGATGTGGTATTGTGAGTGTAGTTCTAATTTCTCTTCCCTTTCCTCTGAGGGGGGTCTCTCTTCTATCCTTCCCCACATCCCAGGGAATCAGTGAAGAAGGAAATCACCCCTCCCCATCCCAGTTACACAACAAAGCCATATACAAAAAACACAAGGCTTTCTTGTAACTACAGAAGGAGGCTACAAAATGACACGTGGTTCCAAAGGAATGTTCGTCCCTGTTTCCTACACATGAAAAGGAAACCAAAACTAGCTGTCATCTCTGTTCATCCTACCCTACCTAGAAGCAAAGCTTGGGCATCAATGACCATGTTTGTCATGAACTCTACCCACAGGGCGAGGTAGAGCTGCCCAAGCAACTTTCCAGTTTTCTCCAACTCATGTTCCCAAGGCTGGGCACTGGGTTGCACTTAGAGCAGGGGACTCAGGATGGGGGCAGCACTGCAGAGATATCACCTGCTATGCATGCAGAGGTGGTGAAGTAGAGCAGGCACATGGAGACCAGCAGGACCATCAACCCCTCGGCTCAGCTGGGAAGTAGGCATGCAGGTGCACCGCTAGCCAGGCGGCTTTCAAAGCCAGTCCAAGTTTCATGTTGTTTGTGGGGAGCACTGGAAAGCTGGCATGAACCCCAGCCTTCTTCCATCCTGCATGGGGCAGCCAGCATTCTTCTTGTTAATGTTCTGTGTGGACAGGTGTGGTGTTTCCAGAAAGCCTACAAAACACCCATTGCCCAGGAGGGATATACAGCATCCATTAGCACAGCAGTCTGTGAAGTGTGGTTGATACCACAAAACAGAGTGCCGAGAGCCTGGAGCAAGTGAGTTTTACCTGGAAGGGAAGACCGAGAACTTGAGGCCAACAACCATCAGTCTGTGTCACAATGGGCTGAGAAAAGAAGGGCACACTTGAAGAGCTTTGTATTTATGGCATCCGTTCGTGCAGCGAATCTTCCTTGTGGGACAAAAGCAGGCTCAAACCAGTGGTCTAAGTCAGAGGGAGCAGATTTCCACATGGGCTATGGGAGATACACGTAAAATTAAAATTTTATTAAATTTTAGTAAATTTAAAAAATTTTAGTAAATTCTTACAGCTCTCATTCCTATGGTGCTCATTTGGAAGGCCTTTTACATTTTCTATTTATTACCTCATTTAAAGGGAGGAGCCAGGAAAATACACATTACCCTAGCAGCTCTGAGGTTTGCTCTTGCTCACACTGTGCTAAGAAGCAGAGCCCAAGGGTCTCTGGATGATTCTCTTCATCCTGTCGGGTGGGCTAGACAGGCTCTCAATCCTGCTGGTCCACTCATCTGTAAACTCACATGCTCGAAGGCCATACCTGATACTTTCCCACCCCTTGGAAGGCTGCCCCTCTAACCTCTGCACTCCCCCTGAACGGGATGTAGATTCAGCCATATTTTGAGCAGCTTCATCACTTGATGCTTCTGTCACAAAATTGACAGCCTATTTGAAGCTCGTTATAGAATGTATCTTTTTCTGTCCACTTAGCCCTGTGGCCTGTCACCCACTGAAATGAGCCAAGTAGTAAAAGGCCCACCTCCATTCTTGGCATGTTACAGAGGAAAAGAAGAGAAAGACACACAGACTCTAGTGGAATCCTAATTCTCCAAATTCAAGATGAAGGGAACTAGGTAAAAAGACCAAACTAAGTGAGATGTGTGAATTCATTTTCTGAGAGCCGCGAGTGCCGAGAGCCTGGACCATGGCCAGGCTCTTTTTGAAGGGACTTTGGCCAAGCATCATGAAATTAATATTTTATTGAATTACTATGACACAGAACTTTCTATTTCTGCCTAATAAAAATTTAAGGTATATTCCTGTCTTTCTTGATTCACACTCTCTCTCTGCCTCTTATTTCATTTTTTTAAGGTTCATCTTAAAAATTTTGTTCTGCCTGAGAATTTGTTTCCCATCTGCCATTTTCCTCAGCTTTCTGAGTATCCAAGTCAGGGATTTCCTGGTGTCTTAAAGGGTGTTCTGGTGATGAATCTATGCTCTATTGTGTCCTGTCAGGCAAGATCCTGGCAGAATGTCCCAGATGTGTAATAGGAAGAGTGTAGACTGGAGCAGCACTGTCCAACCTTCTGTGGTCATATAAATGGTCTCCATCTGCACTTACCGATGTGGCAGCCATCGAACATGTGGCAAGAGCCGACTTTTTAGTTTTGTTCCATTTTAAATAATTTTAACATTAAAAAGCCTCATGTGTTTCATGGTTACTGTGTTGGAGAGTCCAATTCTATAATAAGAGGCCGCAGATACCTTGGTAGTCAGATCTCACCCAGCACATTATCAACCAATGCTACCAAGCCAGCCCCCAAATGCAGAGGATTTCCTCAAAGTCAAATGCATGTCTTTCACCACAAATATTATTAATTCTATTAGCAATAAAGCCATCATTTGGTGCCTTTCAAGATCATCAGAAGAATCAGAGCTGGAAATTTTTGTCACCATCTAAAATAACAGCCTTGCATTCCTACAACATTCCTCCTCCCCAGCCCACTCTCAGAACCCACTCTGTTTTCTTTTTTCCCTTCTTTTTCATTTTGAGGCTCCCACCTAAGTCACGAGCATCAGCTCCTTGTGAACAATTAAAATAAGCACATATGTGTTCCCTGAGCTGACCTCCATATTAAGTGCCCTACATTTCTCCCTCACTCAAATAGGAGAAGATGGGAATTTCAATGTCTTTGGTTTAGAAGGTATGCTTTTAGGAAAACTTTTCTGTGGTCTTCAATGGCCATTTAGAAACTTCTTTTATTTTCCAAAGATCTATTACAGATAAACACATTCTTTGGGTAGGGGAGATACAGACCTAGCACAACCTCAACCACTAAGTCAGCACTGTAAATACCCAGAATCCACCTTCTGGCTCCAGTGAACAAGGATCCCTCACTGAAACACACAACCCACACACCTCGCTCAATCCTTAGAATCACTTAGAAGTTCAGAAAAATTCTTCTGGAAAGCAAGGGTTAGGCACAAGATTCAGAGAACGCAAGATGAGGTACAGCACTCTTCTCTCTCCAGAACGTCTTGTGCAGACGTTCTCCTGCCCCCACCACATCCACATCATAACTGGATTTTATTACGATTTATTTTGAAGGCATGTATAACAACGACACAGGAGAGGGGGGCGATCGGGAGTCTGGAAAACAAGGAAACATGATACAGTAGGAAGCAGCTTCTCCATCTGGCACGTGGAGTTGCTCCCAGCTCTGTCTCCGCCTTTTCCCATATGTGTGCTCCTAATTTAGAGTGTTAATTCTTTTTTCATTTTTTTTTTCTGGGATGACAGAGTATAATAAGCAGTGGGTAAGGAAGCATGACTCTGACCAGAACGGTGGAAATCACACCGTCCTCCAAATCAGTGGAGGAAGTTTCTAACAACACATAATTGGAGCAATCTAATGTGTCATGGAGTGAATCTAACTCTAACCCTCAGGCTAATGAAATCACAAGAAATAAATGCCCAAGAGATTTGCAGGAAGGTGACTGAAATGAATAAACTATGTCCTGCCCCATTGGCCAGGTTCGGAGAGCGGATGCTAACTTAGCTGAACTGACAGTAAAGTGGTGATTACCATACCGTGATGTCTCGCTGACCTGGAGGACGCAGCCTGAGAGGAGTCCAATGGAAGTCAGTAGCCATGGTGTCGGGGCCTAGGGAGACAAGGATCTCCCAACGAGGTTCATGCCCTTCTCTCTGGGAAGACTGGCTAGAGACAACAGGGTAGCTGATAACATCGAATAATGTTGTTCTACATGTATGAGACAAGCCGTGTGTCCTGGATGCTTCCAGAATGGGAAGAGATAGATCAGCAAAGTGCCTGAAAGGGGAGTAGGAAGGGTGGGGCTGTAAGCTGGCCCTGGAAGATGAATCAGATATGAGCAGAAAATTCAGGAGTGCTAAGTTAGATGACCCTTGGGTTTATTCTGCTCAGAGTTCTGGCATCCCTGTAAGGAAAGAGCAAAGTCAACATGGGGTAAAGGAAGACCTGTACTCTAATGTCACAGCTCAAAGACCTGACCTTGCATCAAAGCCACCTGGGGGGGTTTGTTTTTAAATCCATGCCAGGGCCTGACTCCAATCTAATGAATCGACATTTCTTGGGTGAGCCTTATGCAGTGAGCTAATCCAATGATCCTATCTCAAATACGAAGGCCCAGAGATATGACTGGCTCATGGGCATATACTATGAATTCATTTAGCAGGTGAATTTCCAACCATTCCCTCAACATCTCTCTGCCAGTCATGTGCTCTGAAACCTCACCTCCAGGGGCAGCGGGTCTCATCCTTAAATCTCTGACTGGGGCTCATCCACCCTGACTCCTCCCAGATCCAGAAGGGTATGAGGGTGCATGGTGCCCTTGTCTGCTTCATTGTTAACAACCACTCACCTAGAAGAAAACTAAGCAGCTTCTTATTCCAAACCTGAAATTGAACCATTTGTCCTTAGTGAGGAGGAGATGGTGGGGGAAAAAAACAACAACAACAAACAAACCTGACTTTACAGTGTTGTCTTTTTCTGCATCTCCTTTAGCCTCAGCCTCAGAACCTGCACAGCTGCAGACACACTGTCTTCCAGTAAGGACTTCTTTCTTTCTTTCTTTGGTACTGAAGATTGAACCCAGGGGTACTTAACCACTGAGCCACATCCCCAACCCTTTTTTCTATTTTATTTAGAGAGAGGGTCTTACTGAGTTTCTTAGGGCCTTGCTAAGTTTCCGAGGCTGCCTTTGAACTCTGAATCCTCCTGCCTCAGCCTCCCAAGCCTCTGGGATTCCAGACATGCACCACTGCATCCAGCAAGGGCTTCTTTCTTAACCCACACCTCATCCCTCAAGGCTTGCACTTGGCCAGTCTGCTGTCAGAGATGCCCCTTGCAAATGCTTTTAGGCTTTTTCCATTTTTTGTATTTCTTCCTTCCTTTTTAAATTTGGTACTGAGGTTTGAATTCAAGAACCTTAGTTGCTAAGCTGAGGCTGCCTTTGAACTAGTTAGTGATCCTCCTGCCTCAGCCTCTCAAGCCACTGGTAATATAGGCGTGTGCCTCTGCACCTGGCTTTTTTCTTCTTTTTAATAACATATAAAAAGACATAAAAATTGTACACATTTATGGGGTACCATGAGATGTTTTGATACATGTCTGCATGGTGTAATGTCAAAGTCGAGTTTAACACATCCATCTCCTCCAACAGTTATCATAACTTTATGGTGAAAACATTCAGAATACTTTCTTCTGGATTTTAAAATATACAGTGTGTAACTGCTGTCTGTAGTCACCCTATTGTGCAATGGCACACACCAGAGCTTCTTGTTTCCTTCTAACTGTGACTTGGTCCCCATTGGTCAGCCTCTCCCCACTCTCCCCCCTCGACTCTCCCCAGTCTCTGTTAACTGCCATTATTCCCTCATCATCTGTGAAATCCACATTTTAACATCCCACATAAGAATGAGATCAGGCGGTCCTTGTCTTTCTGTGCTTAGGTGGTTTCTACTTCTTAGCTATTATGCTAATAGCTGCCAAAAAACATGGAAGTACAGATGTCTCTTTTTCCGTTTTCAAAAGGATTTGTATGAACATGCAAATCCTGTTATTTCAACCAAAACAAACAAACAGGATCATATTCCTGAGCACTCTGGTGCCCCTCTGCTCCCTTGGAATTTACCAACGCAGTTGGTCATCTGTATCCTTGAGCTCTGTATCTGAAGATTCCACCCAAAAAATGTTCATCTGCTATGAAAATGTACAGATGTTATTCTTGTCATTAGTCCCTAAAAAATACATTATAACAGCTATTTACATGGCATTTACATTGTATTACACATTAATAAAATAATACTCTAGATCATAAGTAATCTAGGGATAAATTGAAATATACAGGAGGATATGTATAGGTTTTAGGCAAATCCTATGATTTTTTACAGAAAGGACTTGAGCATCCTTAAATTTGGGTGTGTGTGGGGGTGTCCCAGAACCAATCTGGCAAGGATACTGAGGAAAAACTCTATTATATTATCCTACCCCGACCTCCAGATTTCTTTCCAGATGCCTTTGTATCCCTAAGCCAGACAACTGTCCTTTCTGGCCCCACATACCCTTCCTCCCAGGAGTCTTGCAGCTCCTACCAGCCCTTCACGACTCTGTGACCGTATTCCCACCTGGCACGCATGAAGGCGCCTTTCAGACCAACTCTCTGCTACTGCAAAACTACTCCATCTCAGTCCTCCCCAGACCACCCAAGATTTTTCTGTTTCCAAAAGAGCTTCGTACCTTTTGTTTCAAAGCCAAACCTTCGCAGGTTTGTGACCGAGATGGCACAGTCCTGTAATCCCGGCAACTCAGGAGGCCAGGGCAGGAGGATGGCTCATTCATTCGCCAAATATTTATGAAGCACCTAAAGATCATAGATTTCAGGTTATGTGTTTGTAATTAAAAAAAAAAAAGAACTCTGACAGGCATCTTCCCAAAAGTTCTCCCCTAAGAAGAACAAGTCCATTTTCCCATGGACATTGGCTCATGGACAGTTCCAGGAAGGGGCCATTTCCCAGCCAGGGACCTGACACAAAGGAGCAGACGGGGAGTGAGCACAGAGCAGGAGTCCATGGAAGACGAGCCAGGACATGAGGCTGCCTCACTGTGTGTGTGTGTGACAGGGACCATCTTACTCCATCTTCTGGTGCACTTACAAGATGCCCAAGACCAAGCAACTTAGAAGAAACAGAAATTTATTTGGCTCATGATTCTAGAAGTTGGGAAGTCCAGGAGCATGATTGTGGTGTCTGGCGAGGGACCTTATGCTGCATCACCCCATAGTGAAAGGTGGAAGGATGAGAGAAGTTGAGAACAGGAGAGAAAATGGGGACCGAACTCAAGAGCAACCCATCTGTGGGATAATGACATTATTAGTCCATTCATAAGGGCAGAGCTCTTGGACCTAATCAACTCTTATCAAGTCCACCTCTCATCTCTGTCACACGGTCTCACTAAGTTGCTCAGGGCCTTGCTTAGTTGCTGAAGCTGGCTTTGAACTTGGGATCCTCTTGCCTCAGCCTCTGAGCTCCTGAGATTACCGGGAGTTCATTTTTTAACTCATTTCATTTCAACTGAATCCCTACTCAGGGCTCATGGACTATATAGAAATTAGGACTTAAAATCGTTCCTGTCTCCTTCTCTTCCCCCTCTCAGTGAGGACACACACATGTCTTGGCAGGGCCAGTTCCCACTGCCAATCGCACAGGGCCCGGTGCTTAGAACAGCCCTGAGCTTGGTTCAGGGCTCTGCCATCACCATCTTGAAGCCCTGAATGATTTTTAAACAAGGAGCCCCACATTTTCATTTTGCACTGAGCCCCCTAAGTTGCATAGCTGGCCTTGCTCTTGGCAATCAGTGTCTCTTGGAGGTGATCTGATTTCCAGCCATGAATTTCTGTACATTGTCCCTGATTCCATGGCTTAGTGTCAAAGGGTTTTCATCATCTTAAGAGTGGAAAGCAGGAAAAACCACTTCTTAGCTCCTAACCCAAGGTCATCTTTTTTTTTTTCTTATTAAAAATCACAGTCCAGGGGCTGGGGCTGTAGCTCAGTAGCAGAGTGCTTGCCTGACATGTGTGAGGCACTGGGTTCAATCCTTAGCACTGAATAAAAATAAACAAAATAAAGGCTGTCCATCTACAAGTACAATTTTTTTTTTAAATCACAGTCCATTTTAAAGTAGCAACATGAGGCTTAAATAGGATACAGTACCTCAGTCCAATGTACCAAGATGATTTGGCTTTAGAGAAAATAAAATTTCCCTGAGAGTTCTGCCTAAACTAAAATAAGGGCGGGAGAACTGATCACAGGAAAAACACTCTTCAACATTTGGGCTCCCTCGAAGATGTGCTAACATCTCTGCCAATGTCGCACCAAATGTAGCTCCTATCCCTAAGATTCTGATTTATGAAAAAGGATAGGAAAAAAAATGTACACTGAACACCATGACCAACCAACCAATATTTACCAACAGACTGACAGCCATCTCTCATCCCAAGCCCAGCCCCACTCCCAGAGTAGGATTTAAAAGGACAAAATATTTTGAGGAAAATAGCATTTCTTTGAGTTTTTTATTTTTTCAAAGGGGTGAGGGAGTACCATCTAAATAAATTCTAATATATTTCAAATATATTCATTATCATGCACTAAAAGCAAATCCCCATTTTGTGGTTCTCCAAAGAGAGTGACAGAGCCTTGTTTGTAACAGCCTCGGGCATAAGCAATCATTGTGTAGCTTAATTAGATATTCCCCATGCTAGCATGGGGGACATATGTCTATTCACTGTAACAAACACCAAGCCCGGCCAGAGCTTTCACGCCAGGCTATATGCAGATAGAGTCAACGCAAGTGTGCCTTCTCCCAAGGACCTGCGGCCCCAGCCGGCCCCGCACAATCAGCCCGCATTCACCGACTGGTTCCAGTTTATTAACAGCCCATGAAGTTCTCATCTGCTCCTGTGCTGGTCAGGAGTGTCACCTGCAATGCCAGGCCCAAGTTGGCTCTTCTACTCCTCCAATCAGATGGGATGTGCATCTGCAGGGCCGGATGTACTGCATTTTCCTACACAAAGAACTGACTATTGGGAGAGTTGTAAATCACAAGAGTGTAAATGCAGATAGATGTTTCTGTAATTACAGACAGGAAAGTCACCCAACACAGAAGGAAGGCAACTTGAAGTTAAATAAGACCTGGCTAATTTATGCATTGATTGTTTGGTGCTGGGGATAGAATCCAGAGCCTCATTACGTGTGCTAAGCTATGCACTCTACCACTAAGCCACACCCCCGGGCCCAAAGTGGGAGAGGGAAGTCTGTATTTAGGATTTTATCTAATAATTAATTTTGGTGACACGGATCAAACCTAGGGCCTTCTGCATGTTCAGCATGCTCCTTACCACTGAGTTAAACCCAAATCCCCCAAGACTTGACTAAATTAAAAGCCTGCTTAATTTTGAATTTTAGATTTCAAATTAGCAGTGGCAGCACAGGGGAGGGGACAACACCAAAGGAGAGAAAAGTCTTGGCCTGTGTATCACCTTCTCTTTGGAAAAGGCAGACCTATCTATGGCAAGCCAGATGCATCTGGTCTCCAAAATGACTTCTTTTCTGGGCTTCCCTCCTGACTGGGCTTCTGCTATCCTCTTAGAAACAAGTCTAACTTCTCTCAGCTGAAAATCCATTTTGGTCAGAAATTCTTGCTGGCTCCTTTCCCCTCTAGGGGAACATGTATTGTCAGCTGAGGCTGCCATAACCAAGGGCAGTGAAGGAAGTGGCTTAAACAATAGGCTTGTCTTGCCTCCCAGTTTGGAGGCCAGAAGCATGAACCAAGGTGTTGCAGGGCTGGATGCTTCTGGGGCCAAGAGGAAGGGTCTGCTCCAAGCCTCTCTCCTTGGCTGGCAGAGGTCATTTTGTCCTTGTGTCTTTATAACATCTCCCTCCAGAAGTGTCTATCTCTGCATCTAAATTTCCCAGAAAGATGCCAGTCATATTGAATTAGGACCCACAGTGATTTCCTCATTTAGCTTGACTTTCTCTGTAAAGATCCTGTGGAAGAAGACTCCAGTACATCTTGGGCAGGGGACATAATTCAACCATAATACACTGTCCAGGGGACCTAGCATGAAAGCATCTTTTACTCTCACCCCCCTTTCCACCTAGACTGGCACAATAGAAGGTTTTGTAGACATTGTGATAATGCAAAATCCTCTGATTTCCCATTAGCTGTTAGAACAGTCACGCAGAGAGCTGGTCATGTAGATTCCCAGGCCAAATATGAACTCACCTCTAAGGGAATTGCAAAATAAACCAGTTTCATAAAGAGAGGCACCCTCTGTTTTCATCTCCTGTTGTTACCGAGGAGCTACTCTGGTGGGATTTGAGTCTCTAAGAATAAATATACCAATTCCATCTGAAAAAGTGTCAACTTGAAAAAACCCTAAAAGAAGCCTTTTGTACAAAGGACCCCAAAGTGAAATGGCCTGAGGCCACCCAGCCAGTTGGTGATAGGCCTAGGATGCAGGGGGCATCATCTGCTTTGATGGTTCCAGGCAGCAGCAGAAGTCCTGAGACTGGTGTTTACAGGACTCTCTAGCTGAACCCCAATGAGGCTGGGGTGCTCTCCCTTATTCTGGGTGGGCTTCCCTCTCCTCTCTGAGAAGAGATTAAAGGGGGTTCAGGAATTCCCAGCCTGAATCTCTAGAAAAGCACATGAGGCTGGTCGACATCAGCACTGTGCTCCCAATAACTGGACAACTTGAAACAAAGGTGCCAAAAAGAGAGGTCCACCTGAGTCAGCTGATAAGTGATGCTCTTTCAAAAAGAGCTGCAGGAGTGATGTACTGGGGACCATCTGTGGAGACCCACTGGCTCAGGAGCTCTCTCCTTCCACCTCCTACCTGTCATGGGCTGAGTAGCTCAGCCTCCATCTCTGAGCTGTGTTCCCTGAGGGAAGCTTGAGGGAGGCTGGGGCTGCCGTTCCCAGGGACATTTCTTCCCAACTACCAAGAGCACAAGTGGAGGGTGCATGTGGGCAGCAGCCTCCAGCCAACGAGGGAAACTTCTCTCTGATGCAAAAGTGCACAAAAGCAGTTTGCAGCCTGCAGGCAATTGCTCAACCCTGATAGCAGCCCCAGGGGAAGTCCACAGCAAGAACCAAGAGGCTCTGCAGCCTCCAGGGACTCTAAGTGGGAACTTGTGCACATTCAGTGGAGGAGAAATGAAGGATCTGTCCACCTGGCTGGCAGGCTGCGGTACACCTCCCACAGGATTTGGCATCTGGTGATAAACAGAGGCAGGTTCCACATGAGCACAGACCATCTGAGGCTGTGCAGTAGCCCAGGAAAGAAAGACAGTGGTCAACAGGTGCCTCCCGCACAGGGCAGCAGATAAGTTCAGGGAGGGAACAGGGATTACTTACATGGGCTCTGTGGACATTTGTTTCCCCAAGTTGCACATGTGCCTATAAAAAGATGGTGGCAAAAGTCTTTCTTTCTTTTTGTAGTCAAACAGTCTGAAGATGATTAAGGAACGAGATGGTTGAGATACACTGATTTGCTCATCAAATACTTATCCAGGACTTTGGATGTCCCAGGAACAGTCCCAGCCCTGGGGACAAAAACACTTAAATTTTTAGACAGAGGCAGTGATTGGAGTTATGCCCACTGTAATACTGTGATTTATAATTTTAAAAAATGTATATTTCAATCTGCCTCCCAAGTTCCTAGCAAAGAGCCCTAAACCCTTGTCATTTCCTGAGCAATAGAGGTGACAGGGGAATATTTTCTTCTAATATTTAGCCTTTGACCCTAGTTCTTGGCACAGAAAGCTGATCTCTTGGAATTTTCTGGGTGATGGTAGCA